CCATCACCTCCTCATCACCTCCTCCATCACCTCCTCCATCACCTCCTCCATCACCGTGTGGTTCGCTGGAGCCACAGTCAGGGACAAACAGAGACTACAGCGCATTGTGCGCTCTGCAGAGGAAGTGATCGGCCGCAGCCTTCCATCGCTGCAGGACCTGTACGTCGCCCGAGCTCGAGGCCGGGCTGGTCGTATCACAGCCGACCCCTCTCACCCTGCACATGGACTATTCCAACCACTCCCCTCTCACCTGCACATGGACTATTCCAACACTCCCCTCTCACCTGCACATGGACTATTCCAACCACTCCCCTCTCACCTGCACATGGACTATTCCAACCACTCCCCTCTCACCTGCACATGGACTATTCCAACCACTCCCCACAGGCAGGAGGCTGCGGTCCATCAGGACTAGAACCTCCCGCCACAAGAACAGTTTCTTCCCCTCTGCTGTTGGACTCTTGAACACTTCTTAACCTGTCCCCCCGCCCTTTATAAAGTCACTTTACTGCCCATCATACGTCACTTTACTTCACTGTACTGCTGTCACCTTACATTGTGTGCACCATTTGCACTGTATTGTGTATAGTTATTGTAACTCTATTTTTATTTTTATTTTAAATATATTCCTTAGAAGTGTTTTTTATTATTTATTTTTTAGTATCTCTTTCTGACTGTTGCACTGAGCCAAAGCAATTTCCAAGTCTGTGACTTCCTGTTACTTACGTGGCAATAAAAATGATTCTGACACATGTGCGTGTCTATAACAGTCACATGACACATATATTTGATCTTTTCAGGACAACGTGGATTTTCACCAAGAGTCTGTTTCTGTGGTTTCTTTGTTTATACATGTTTTCCGCAGACGTCACTCTGCCGCTCCAGCTCCAGTGAACATCCAGGGAAAGGACATCGAGAGAGTGGACTCTTACAAGTACCTGGGTGTTCATCTTAACCACAGGAGGGTCCTGAGCAAACTAACATCTATGCTGGACCATGACTGTCGCCCCCTGCAGGACACTCTGCTCTGGAGAGCAGCTTCAGTGACAGACTAATTCACCCTCGCTGTGTGAAGGAGAGGTTCTGTAGGTCTTTCCTTCCTGCTGCTGTCAGACTGTACAATAAGAACTGCTGAGCCTATAAATTTCATTCATCTGTAATTAAGTAAATTCTTAAATCATGTGCAATGTGCAATACTGCAACTTCAGGATGTCACAGAACAATGTCACTTTACCTCATGTCACTTTACTTATATACTTTATATCCTGCACTATTTAACTGTACAGTATATAACTGCACTGCTACATATACAGTGCCTTGCGAAAGTATTTTGCCACATTTCAGGCTTCAAACATCAAGATATAAAATTTTAATTTTTTGTCATGAATCAACAACAAGTGGGACACAATCGTGAAGTGGAACGACATTTATTGGATAATTTAAACTTTTTTAACAAATAAAAAACTGAAAAGTGGGGCGTGCAATATTATTGGGCCCCTTTACTTTCAGTGCAGGAAACTCAGTCCAGAAGTTCAGTGAGGATCTTTGAATGATCCAATGTTGTCCTAAATGACTGATGTAATCAAGTCTCCGTATAAATGCACCTGCTCTTTGATAGTCTCAGGGTTCTGTTTAAAGCGCAGAGAGAACCATGAAGACAAAGGAACACACCAGGCAGGTCCGAGATACTGTTGTGGAGAAGTTTAAAGCCGGATTTGGATACAAAAAGATTTCCCAAGCTTTAAACATCTCAAGGAGCACTGTGCAAGCAATTATATTGAAATGGAAGGAGTATCAGACCACTGCAAATCTACCAAGACCCGGCCGTCCCTCCAAACTTTCATCTCAAACAAGGAGAAGACTGATCAGAGATGCAGCCAAGAGGCCCATGATCACTCTGGATGAACTGCAGATAACTACAGCTGAGGTGGGAGAGTCTGTCCATAGGACAACAATCAGTCGTGCACTGCACAAATCTGGCCTTTATGGAAGAGTGGCAAGAAGAAAGGCATTTCTCAAAGATATCCATAAAAAGTCTCGTTTAAAGTTTGCCACAAGCCACCTGGGAGACACACCAAACATGTGGAAGAAGGTGCTCTGGTCAGATGAAACCAAAATCAAACTTTTTGGCCACTATGCAAAACGATATGTTTGGCGTAAAAGCAACACAGCTCATCACCCTGAACACACCATCCCCACCTCAGCTGTAGTTATCTGCAGTTCATCCAGCGTGATCATGGATGAACTCCCTGAGACTATCAAAGAGCAGGTGCATTTATACGGAGACTTGATTACACACAGGTGCATTCTATTTATCATCATCAGTCATTTAGGACAACATTGGATCATTCAAAGATCCTCACTGAACTTCTGGACTGAGTTTGCTGCACTGAAAGTAAAGGGGCCGAATAATATTGCACGCCCCACTTTTTAGTTTTTTATTTGTTAAAAAAGTTTAAATTATCCAATAAATTTTGTTCCACTTCACGATTGTGTCCCACTTGTTGTTGATTCATGACAAAAAATATTTTTTTTATATCTTTATGTTTGAAGCCTGAAATGTGGCGAAAAGGTTGAAAGGTTCAAGGGGGCCAAATACTTTCGTATATTTTTGACTGGTATTGAAGCATTTTCAGCATCGACAGCTAGTTATGTTAGCTAAGAAACATAGCTACTACTTACTTGTATATATTGTGTGTGCTCCCTGTGTGCTCTTACTACTGTCCTATATGTGCGATGCAACATCGAAATTTCCCCACTGTGGGACGAATAAAGGAAGCTTATCTTTCAGCTTCAGGACTTGACGTCATGATATTTAGGGTTCTGTGAGGAGCGTGAGGAACGTAAGGAGTGTGAGGAGTGAGGAGGAGGCTGCAGACTGAAGTGCAGGGTGGGTCCCAGCTCCAAACTCAGAGCAACACTGCCCCCTCCTGGTCCACTCCGGAAGCACAACAATAGTCACCTTCATGTAGTTTCACAGCAGGAAGTTCAGCTGTATTTATGATTCATACTTTTATTTCACTGAGCTGATTTAAAGCTATATTTGACTGAAGACGATAACAATATTGCACTTAGATTTGTTTTCTAAAGTGAAAGTAGTTTACAAATGAAACAGTATTTGAGAATATGTTCCTTATTTGTGTTTTTTTTTTCTCTCTTTTTATTATGGAAATGAAGTGTAAGTTAAGTTAAATATTGTAACGTAGCAGTGGACATTAGGCGTAGTATTCAGTTTTCTTCTTCCCACTCCTTTTGTAGCCAAATGTTTTCTAATCCTTATGTACAGCTGTCACATTGTTATTATTTTTTGCATGTGATCTGCTCAAAATGAATCAATAAATGAAAAAGAATGAAACCTGAGTAAATGACACAGAGGGTGATGATGATCCTCTGTGCTGCAGGCCTTTTATGTTATTGCTGATCATATTAAAGCTGGGGGACGCAACTTCACTCACTAAACTCACATGGTTCTGCTCCAAGACAGTCTCTCTCTCTAGTTTCCACAGGACTTTGGCCTCTGTCACATCTTCAGATCATCTTTCACTAATCTGACTCTGTCCTGCTAACCTGGCAAGAGCCAGATTGATGATTGTGTAGAACTCTAATGCATTCTCCACAATATCAATCTGGGACTTCTGCAGGAGAATCCTTTCGGGGAAAGGAGGGATAAGCAGCAGAATACTTCAAGCTGATTGGGCGAAGTGACACTGTGTGCCCGCCTACCAAGGTTTGACTTAAACCAATCCCGGTAACATTATGTCGTCATCGGCGTGCAAAAAGCGCTCCTCGCTGTTCATCTTTCAAAAAAGAAATTGGAGATTCTGCTAAAACTGACTTGATAGCCTCAGCTACGCGTCCGTCCTCCTGCGTAGCCATGTTTGTATCCGGCACTTTCGTCAAACCCGGATATCCCGCCCTAAACCCCCAGACTGGCGCGTGATTGGCTTGAAAACCTAGATGTTCTACTCGAAAAGGGTTGGCGGGAGCGGGACAAGATGTATTCTCGAGTGTTTGTGAACCACAAATACTGCAAGAATTCAGCTTGCAGGTAAGGTTACTGTCCTTCAGCCCAAAGAGTCCAATAGTGACTCACATGGCTCCTCCTTCATATGCAACAGACATGTGTTTTCATGAGACGGACCCATGCTGCGGGAAGGTTCAGCTTTAGATGGATCAGTCTTGGTTCATACTAGAGAGGGGGAGGACCAGAGAGAGACCAGAGAGAGACCAGAGAGAGACCAGAGAGAGACCAGAGAGGGGGAGGACCAGAGGGAGACCAGAGAGAGACCAGAGAGTGGGAGACCAGAGGGAGACCAGAGAGAGACCAGAGAGTGGGAGACCAGAGGGAGAGTAGAGAGGGGGAGACCAGAGGGGGAGGACCAGAGAGAGATCAGAGACAGACCAGAGAGACCAGAGAGAGACCAGAGGGGGAGACCAGAGACACCAGAGAGGGGAAGACCAGAGAGAGCAGAGGGGGAGGACCAGAGAGAGAGACCATGTTAGTCCTCTTAACAGTGCAAGTTACTAAAGTGTTCTTCTGACTTTAAAGGAAGTGTCATGTTACACTAGTGTTTTATGGAGTACACACACAGAGCATGAGACGCACACTCACAAATGAACGCACAACAACCTGAAACCCACTGTGTGTGTGTTTATACCTGGTGACTTGTAGACTTGTACTGGTTTGGCATTTTTCCCCACATAATGAATAAAAACCATGTTAGAGATTGTGTCTGATGTATTTGCTGTTGAAAATATAGTTTGAATAAATAAATGAGTGTCGTCAACAATAATCACCTCAGAGCAACACGTTCAGCTGTCGATGTGTGCTTCATTGTTATCATCATAGACTCCTCCTCAGCATTAGCATAACAGAGAGGCTGCGTCTGAGGCTCAGGAAGAGGTCAGCGGTGCGGTGCATATGCATACAAACATGGCCGTCCCGTAGAGTCCGAACAACCTCCAAGAATCCACAGCAGACCGACTTTGAACCAGTCACCATGAATAATGCAGGGGCCAAGTCACAACCTCGTGGTGAGACTGGGTTCATCTGAAGACCCAGGACTGAGGCTGTCGACCCAGGACTGAGGCTGTAGACCCAGGACTGAGGCTGTAGACCCAGGACTGAGGCTGTAGACCCAGGACTGAGGCTGTAGACCCAGGACTGAGGCTGTAGACCCAGGACTGAGGCTGTAGACCCAGGACTGAGGCTGGAGACCCAGGACTGAGGCTGTAGACCCAGGACTGAGGCTGTAGACCCAGGACTGAGGCTGTAGACCCAGGACTGAGGCTGTAGACCCAGGACTGAGGCTGTAGACCCAGGACTGAGGCTGTAGACCCAGGACTGAGGCTGTAGACCCAGGGCTGAGGCTGTAGACCCAGGACTGAGGCTGTAGACCCAGGGCTGAGGCTGTAGACCCAGGACTGAGGCTGGAGACCCAGGACTGAGGCCTCAAATGAAGTAATAGTCTCGTCTTCTGAAGCTGAGGCGGGGCATCTGGGCGTCTCCTGACGCTTCACCATCATCAAAGCAAACCAGACGTGTGTGAAGTGGAGTCCGGTGTGAACGCACCTTTACTCATCTTTCTAAAACTACTTTCATTCAGTCGTTTCTTTTGCAGCATCTGTTCAATCTGAAGAGACCAAAGACACAATTAATACATAAAAAATGATTTATTTGTTTGGCGCATTGACCCCGGCAGTGACACTTGCAGCGATGAGATCGATTGCTGCTGAAGATGATCTCAGATCCCCCGGGGTCAAGCACTGGTGGTGGCTAGAGTATGGTGTGAATGGGGCGGAGGCGGCGCAGGAGCCAGAGCAGGAGCCTAGAGCCAGAGCAGGAGCCTAGAGCCAGAGCATGAGCCCAGAGCCAGAGCAGGAGCCCAGAGCCAGAGCAGGAGCCCAGAGCCAGAGCAGGAGCCCAGAGCCAGAGCAGGAGCCCAGAGCCAGAGCAGGAGCCCAGAGCCAGAGCAGGAGCATAGAGCCAGAGCAGGAGCCCAGAGCCAGAGCAGGAGCCCAGAGCCAGAGCAGGAGCCCAGAGCCAGAGCAGGAGCCCAGAGCCAGAGCAGGAGCCCAGAGCCAGAGCAGGAGCCCAGAGCCAGAGCAGGAGCCCAGAGCCAGAGCAGGAGCATAGAGCCAGAGCAGGAGCCCAGAGCCAGAGCAGGAGCCCAGAGCCAGAGCAGGAGCCCAGAGCCAGAGCAGGAGCCCAGAGCCAGAGCAGGAGCCCAGAGCCAGAGCAGGAGCCTAGAGCCAGAGCAGGAGCCCAGAGCCAGAGCAGGAGCCCAGAGCCAGAGCAGGAGCCTAGAGCCAAAGCAGGAGCCTAGAGCCAAAGCAGGAGCCTAGAGCCAGAGCAGGAGCCTAGAGCCAGAGCAGGAGAGTTGAGCCAGAGCAGGAGCCCAGATCCACAGCAGGAGCCCAGAGCCAGAGCAGGAGCCTAGACCCAGAGCAGGTGGTGGGTGTTTAAGAGCCTCAGGAAGCGTTGCTTGTTAGGAAGTGACTGCCTTTTAACCTGCCCGCTTTGCTGTGAGAGGGTTGGCAGGAGGCTGGCCTGGCTGTGTGATTGGCAGGCACTTGGTCTTTCAGTCTGAACATCCGCATAAGCTTCATTTTATCACAGAGCAGTAACTCTCAGCTCTCCCTCAGGGGAGTATTCATGAGGGCAGTGATGATGAGGGAGGAGGCAGTGATGATGAGGGAGGAGGCAGTGATGATGAGGGAGCAGGCAGTGATGATGAGGGAGGAGACAGTGATGATGAGGGAGGAGACAGTGATGATGAGGGAGGAGGCAGTGATGATGAGGGAGGAGGCAGTGATGATGAGGGAGGAGACAGTGATGATGAGGGAGGAGGCAGTGATGATGAGGGAGGAGGCAGTGAGGATGAGGGAGGAGGCAGTGATGATGAGGGAGGAGGCAGTGATGATGAGGGAGGAGGCAGTGATGATGAGTGGAGGAGGAGACAGTGATGAGGGAGGAGGCAGTGAGGATGAGGGAGGAGGCAGTGATGATGATGAACAGGAAAAGGTCAATGTGATACCTATTCACCCCCTAAAGTTCAAATACTGTGTAAGAGCCACCTTTGCGTCAATCACAGCTCCAAGTCGCTTGGATAAGTCTCTATGAGCTACCAAATCTTACCATGGAGATTTGTCCCATTCCTCCCTGCAAAACTGTCTCTCTTCAAGTTGATGGTTTGGCTTGTGAACAGCAATCCTTTTAAGTCCTGACCACAGATTTTCTTTTGGATTGAGGTCTGGCTTGACTTGGCCTTTCCAACACATTTACATGTTTCCCTTAAACCACTGTTGCTTTAAGCCAGTGTGTTTGGGTCTTTGTCCTCTGGAAGGTGAAACTCCGTCCTAGCCAAAAATCACGCACAGAGTTGGTACGGTTTTGCTCTAAGATTATCCCTGCATTTTAGCACCTGACGGATCTACCATTATGGGAAACCTGGGCACGTGCACCAGGGGCCCTGGGCATAGAAGGGGCCCTCTGCCGGCAGAAATAATAATGGTTGTCTACAAGAATGGACTCTCGTGATTGTCTCCCTTATATGTCAGTTTGGTGACTTGGACAGGCTAATGATTGGGAGCGGAGTGGCAATGCTTGTGTAGATTGGATATTATAATGGTGGGTGGGGCTTAGCAGGTGGTTTCATATATTGTGTATGTAGTGGAAAGTGGGGGAAAATGACTCAGCAGCATCAACAAAAAGCCCAGCGGACATGCAAAGAGCAAGAGGAAAAAAGAAAAGGAAGCGACAGCTATAAAATAATGTTATGCAATTAACAGCTTTTTCAAAAAAGCTAGAATTGAAGAGGAGGGTTTCGAGCTAGCCAGCAGCAATGTTAGCTTGGAAGCGCCTTCTACCAGTGATGCCCAGCCTGAGCTAACCGCGGCACACTATCCTTACCGGAGAAAATGAAGCGGCATCTAATGAATGAAGAGCAACGGAACAAGGTAATTTCGGCAATATATGAAGGACCCTGCACTTTGGGGATCGCTTACAGAAAGCACCCGCATGGACTTTTATTTAAAGAATCTCAGCTTTTCAAAATGGGCGGCTAAATATTCGCTTCAAGGGAGGGGGAACGACGCAGAGGGAAAGACGCCGCTCCCTTTACTATTGATGGCTCTGACCCGGCTGATCTACAATGGGGAAGTATTCCACGAGAATGGATATATATTCACCATAACGGGGAGATATTTTTTCGTTCCTTGTAAAGTGTTTTCACAATGAACAGTGCATTTATTGACGGGGTTTTAGGCGACTGGAAAAAACACCGTAATCGAATAACGGAGCATGAAATGAGTGGGGGCACAGAAGTGCATGCTTTCCACTTGCACATCGCAGCAAACATCTGGGCATGTTGATGGCTTCTCTTGGGAGACAGAATCGAAGCAGAAGGTCAGTACTGGAAAAAGGATGTTTTGAGGCGGTAGTGTTTGTTGCCGTGATTAAATTCTGAGTTGAAAGGGGGCTTTCCTCCTTTACCGTGAGATATATGAACTTTTGGGATCTCCTCACAATGGCAATTACCTCGGAATCCTCGAGCTGTCTGCCACAGTTTGATCCTGTTTTTTTTAAAGGAACATTTGCAGAAGTATGGTCCAGAAGGGTCGTGGCAAGCCTTTCATATTTGTCATCTAACTTTATGTGAGGAGTAATTAATTAATGGGAGAAAAAACAAAGAAGTCATTGCTAGAGAACTTCTGCAGGCAAAGTATTTCTCTGTTATCGTATGACTACACCTGATATGTCTCATGTGGACCAGCTAACTTTTGTGTTGCCGACTTGTGAGTGAGGGACAGGAAAAAGTGGATTGAGCGATTCATGGATTCGAAACCCAAAATTCATAGTCACATCTGTACAGTCTGGCTAGAAATGTGATCCAAGATGGTCAGTCTTTGGGCTGGATCTTTCTAACTGCAAGGGCTTAAACAATGTATAGATACTAACCCAGTAGCTCAATAATGTCATACTTCTTGGATTTTTTTTTTTTAGTTGTGGAAAATTAGCTGTAAGGCCAGTTCTTTGCTTCCTTCAGTGGGCCAGAAATGATCCATTCACAGTATAGATACTAACAGTAGAATAGATCCCACACACAGAGATCAGTTTGGATCAGTTTAGATCAGTCTGGATCAGTTTACAGTCTGGATCAGTTTAGATCAGACAGGATCAGACAGTTTGGATCAGTTTGGATCAGTTTAGATCAGACAGTTTGGATCAGTTTAGATCAGTCTGGATCAGACAGTCCGGATCAGTCTGGGTCAGACAGTTTGGATCCACTCTGGGTCAGACAGTTTGGATCACTCTGGATCAGGCTGGATCAGTTTAGATCAGTCTGGAATCAGACAGTCCGGATCAGTCTGGGTCAGACAGTTTGGGATCACTCTGGATCAGTCTGGATCAGTTTAGATTAGTCTGGATCAGACAGTTTGGATCAGTCTGGATCAGTCTGGATCAGAGACCAGAGTCTGACAGAGAAAGTGTTTTTCCAGTAGCTGTGTTCCTGTCAGTGTCACAGTAACTAATGTAAAATACAGGTTTATTAAACATATTTAAAGACATGTGTAAAACTGTTCTCTTCCACAGTGGCACCAACAGCAGGAAACCTCTGTGTCCTTCACATTTATCACATGTAGCTTGACGACAGAGAGGCTCAGTTTGAATGAGTCTCCTGCGCCCCTGTGGTTCTGTGACGCACACACAGGGCAGATACTTGTTTCCTCTATGAAACAGAAGGGAGGGGCTGGTGACGTCACATCTGAAGTGAAAACTATTTGGACTGAGACGTGTCTGAGACAGGTGAGTCTGACTGTTACTTTAATTTTTTTTCTTTTTTAATGTTTATTATTAGGATTTAATAGTTTGTGATTGTGCATCCACTTGTGTAGAAAACAGTTTCTCTTCATAGTGACTTTAACAATATAGTGTTGTCTTTATCAAATGAGTGTTGGACTGAAGCAGGAAATGAAGTCTGGCCTGAAGTTTAGGCCTGTGCTAATGTCTCTATAGTAGTTTATGTAAATGATTACAGCCTTTTTAAAACAGTTCACATGTAAACAGTGAAATATATCTGTGGTTTCTCCTCCAGTCCGAGTGAATGTGACCATGGCTTCAGAGAGAAAACGTATGAAAAGACCCATCAGTGAAGAAGCAGCTAGGGGGCAGCACTGAGCCAGGTGTCTGCGTCAGAACAAAGTGAGTATCATGTTTCAGTCCAGTCAGTTCTACAGCACAAACACTACAGAAACAGCTGCAAACCTGTCCCCTTTAGGAGCAGAGGAGGAGTTTCAAGTAAAACAGGACTGTTTGTGTTGTTTCTTCTGTGGCTCAGGGACAGAATTCTATTCAACTAGAATTCTATAAACAAAGTTTGTTTTACTGAGAAGCTGTAACTAAAGTATAAGTAAATAGTAAAGTTCTGAAAATGCAGTAGAATGCAGTTCATATATTTCGGCGTTGGCGTCCTCTTTACTCTGAGTTTGCAGGTCTGACCATTTATATATTTCTAAATGACTAAAACCCAAGCAGCAGAAACGTGTTCCTCTCGTCGTCAGCGAGAGCCGTGTGAACAAATGCACTGATGTCAGTGGTTTTAGTCTGGACTATTATGAACTGCTTTGAAAAGAGGATTCTGAATGTGCTTTTCAGACACAGGGACTGCAGTGGTTAGAGCTCAGGACTCGCTTCCATCTGCTTTAAGTCCTTCTGTTGATCTGAATCTAAAATGACACATGATTTAATATTCTTTTTAAATCATGATTTCACTTGATTATGGATTGTTTGATCGCAGTCATTTAACAAAGTCCAAATGTTTGTATTCTGTTGATGGTTGAACCATGGACCCAGAGTAACATGGTCTTTCTCTCCACACAGATCCTCAGTGTCCAGTGCTGTGTCCCTGAAGAGTGACCGGTCTATGTGGGATCCACCAGACTTCAGTCTTGAAGCTGCTTCTTCAAAACCACAGTGAGAACAAAGGAAACACTAACACTGATCTGACTTTAGATTACATTTAGTTCTGTTCAATCCCACCTGGTGTATTTTGGTTGTTTCCAACTCAAAAGCTCTATTAAAGGAGCAGACTTTGTCCTAAATGCTTGTGTTACGGAGGATGGACTGTATGGTGCTAATTCTTATGGTTCAAACATGAAACACGATGGGCGTCGATCAGGACGTCGGAGAGGAAGGTAGGGAGAGACTGGATTGAAGCTCCAATATTTATTACAGCTGCACAGAACGATAGTCTGCAAACACAGACTAATACTATGAAGAACCAAACATATTATTCAATAACTTCTTCTAAAAGGATGTGTTCTTATATACACTCTCATATTCAGTACATGTCAAATATTATTAATAAACACAACATACATTAAACAGCATTAAAGGCTGTATAAAGAAGTTCCCTGAAGCAGGGCGCCATTTCTCCGCGGGCCACTGTTGAACATGAAAATGAGCTGAGCTGAATATGCTCCAAGATAGTGACACACTACACTGAAGGTACACACATTATAACTTATCACAGAACCACACTCCACACACAAGGACATGATTTATTGTTGATCCAATCCCTTTACCTCAACAACATCTCAGAGATTTCAAAGCCTGAGGCCTAAATTCACTGAACAAGTTATTGTCACAGTTTGGTGCAATATTCTGAAAATGTGCAGTTTACAACCAGAACAATCTTCTGAAAAATGTCAAATGGAGTGACAGTGTCTAGATAATGTGACGTAAGAGGACAATAGTATTTATCACCCACTGTTCTGTCATTTTGCTCTCCATGACCACATGCTAATTGGTAAATCAGGCCGTTGCTAAGCTACTTAGGTACTGGCCCCTTCCCATGAGCCTCCTGTGCAGTTTTTATATTTGTTATTGAAGCTTAGGAGCTGCTGTGACTGATCCAGGATCTGTTTCTATAAAGAGGATGGATGCTGCGACAGGACAGTGATTCAAACATCCATCCATCCATCCATTTTCTTCCCCTTGATCCATTTCTGGGTCAGGGGGGTGGCAGTCAGAGCTGCACCCAGTACACAGAGCACCAGCCCCTCACTTATCCTCCTGCAGGTGGTGAGTCCACAGGAGCTGAGATCTTTCAGTGGGAGCTTCAGGCAAAGTGGGGTTAAGTGTCTTGCCCAAGGACACAACGACAGCAGTCATGAAGTAGGTCTTATGGTGGGCTTGAACCCACAACCTTCAGGCCAATAGGCCAATGCTCTACCAACTGAGCTACTGTCGCCCCGATTCAAACATAATAATAAATAATAATAAATAAAGATTATCCAAAAGGAGAGATGCATTGTCCCAGGTTAGCAGCAGTGCTAATTTACACCTGTGGTTCCTGAGCAGGTTGTTTGTAAAACAGTAAAATAAAAGGAGATGGAAACATGACCAACATTATCAGACAGAAAATACTATTTCATTTACCACAAGTTATAATAAAACCACACACACACTCCACACAGACAGACACACACACACACACACTCCACACACACTCCACACACACACATACACGTTTTTGTTACCTGGTGGGTCCCTTTGACAGGGCCGTTCAGAATGGGACCCATAGACATAATCTTTTTTTACTGGGACTACTTTAAGTAATACAAAACAGTCAATAGAAACCAAACAACTATTTTAAAGGAATTTTATTTTTGATTTCTTTTTCGAATTGCAGTGATTTTATTTTTGACAAAGAATGTAATGCCACTCCATGTCCGATGTCTAAGGTCATCTGGTGAGGCATTAAAGAAGCTATACCCGATATTTTTTCTAAGTAGTTCATAAAAATGCTTTTTACTACATACAAGTTGTATCATAATAAATCATTTAATTGAAAACTTGAGGTCATTGATTCAGCTGTGTAAGAATTACAAGCAGTGAAAAGTGCTGAGTAGAGTCTGAGCGGGACGCTCTTTCTCCTCCGCTCACAGAACGAGCAGCGAACAGCCTGCGTCCTCTAGTCTCTACAGCCTGTGTCCTCTAGTCTCTACAGCCTGTGTCCTCTAGTCTCTACAGCCTGTGTCCTCTAGTCTGTACAGCCTGTGTCCTCTAGTCTCTACAGCCTGTGTCCTCTAGTCTCTACAGCCTGTGTCCTCTAGTCTCTACAGCCTGTGTCCTCTAGCCTCTACAGCCTGTGTCCTCTAGTCTCTACAGCCTGTGTCCTCTAGTCTCTACAGCCTGTGTCCTCTAGTCTCTACAGCCTGTGTCCTCTAGTCTCTACAGCCTGTGTCCTCTAGTCTCTACAGCCTGTGTCCTCTAGCCTCTACAGCCTGCGTCCTCTAGTCTCTACAGCCTGTGTCCTCTAGTCTCTACAGCCTGTGTCCTCTAGTCTCTACAGCCTGTGTCCTCTAGTCTCTACAGCCTGTGTCCTCTATTCTCTACAGCCTGTGTCCTCTAGTCTCTACAGCCTGTGTCCTCTAGCCTCTACAGCCTGTGTCCTCTAGTCTCTACAGCCTGCGTCCTCTAGCCTCTACAGTCTGTGTCCTCTAGTCTCTACAGCCTGTGTCCTCTAGCCTCTACAGCCTGTGTCCTCTAGTCTCTACAGCCTGTGTCCTCTAGTCTCTACAGCCTGCGTCCTCTAGTCTCTACAGCCTGTGTCCTCTAGTCTCTACAGCCTGTGTCCTCTAGTCCTCTACAGCCTGTGTCCTCTAGTCTCTACAGCCTGTGTCCTCTAGTCTCTACAGTCTGTGTCCTCTAGTCTCTACAGCCTGTGTCCTCTAGTCTCTACAGCCTGTGTCCTCTAGTCTCTACAGCCTGTGTCCTCTAGTCTCTACAGTCTGTGTCCTCTAGTCTCTACAGCCTGTGTCCTCTAGTCTCTACAGCCTGTGTCCTCTAGTCTCTACAGCCTGTGTCCTCTAGTCTCTACAGCCTGTGTCCTCTAGTCTCTACAGCCTGTGTCCTCTAGTCTCTACAGCCTGTGTCCTCTAGTCTCTACAGCCTGTGTCCTCTAGTCTCTACAGCCTGTGTCCTCTAGCCTCTACAGCCTGTGTCCTCTAGTCTCTACAGCCTGTGTCCTCTAGTCTCTACAGCCTGTGTCCTCTAGTCTCTACAGTCTGTGTCCTCTAGTCTCTACAGCGCTGCTCAACACCAGGGCTTCCACTTCAAAATTCGAATATAATTCTAAAATAAAAAATGATGAACAAAATAATTGAATAAAAAAATGTGAACAAATATTAGACAACCCTTGTAATTCGAAATGTATTTAATGACAGCAAATAAAATAGTTAGCTCCCAAAGGTTTCACCGGGACGTGCTAAGCAGGTAACAGCTAAGCTAGCTAGTTGTTTCATGGTTACTTCCGGGTTTTTCGCAATCGCCTTTTGTCACATTGAAACAGTATTTTTGTCATGAAAACGTTAACAGCAAATTCTGAAATCATCCGTGCATGTGTGTTAAGGATGTATATGTATACTGTATTGTCCGATTAACGTTTAATGGTGTTGATTGATAGATATGTAGTTGTTTATTGAGCGTGGCTAGCTCCGTTGGCTTCTCTACACAGACGAGTGTGCAGTGACAGGCGCTGATAGCTTGTTGTACTTGCAGAGTAATGGCAGTATTTTACACACCTGAATTACAAACAGAGGTTGCATTGGGGCTTCGGTCATTATTGGTTTGAGAGTTCTGTTATCAAGAAAAAATGATCGGAAGAATTGCTGCTGCTGTTTTGAGGAGCTCTATAACACATTATAATTAAATATTAGAATATATTCTAAGGTTTTAAATTAATACATTCGGACGCGAAACTAGCGGTATTCTTTTACTTATGTATTGTGTTAGCAGTGCGTTGCTTTAGTGCCATTTCATCAGTGATTGTTGCACAGCTTACAAGAAGTTGTGCTAATGCTAATGTTAGCATATGTATCAGATCGCAAATAAAACTAGGTGGCTCTGTGTTATGAGAGCGTAGGGGAAATGAGAAGCCATTGAGCGAGTTGGGGGGCGGTGCTAAACATTCAAACATTGCAGAAACGGGTATAGCGCCTTTAATGCAGGCCAGGCCAGGCCAGGCCAGGCAGTGAGACTTCCCAGGGACCTTTCCAGTCTGTATGAAAGGTGTCATGGTCTTCTCCACAGCCTTCACCTCAGATGCAGACCATGGCTTTCTTACACGTTCTAGGGAGATAAATAAAAATATATTAGCAATATTAGGGCTGGGCGATAAAACGATAACGATATATATCGCGATAGACATGTGTTCGATATCAATAGAGAATGGGGTCGATAGAATGTTCGATAGTTTAACTTAACTCCGTCAGGAAAAACAGGAAGAAAACACCGGAATTAAAGCCGACTCATAAGCGCATGGCATTGTGGGGGATGTAGGCAGAGGCTTCTCGACCAATAACAGCCGAGCAGGAACCGCAAAACTTTGTGGGAAATGCAAAAACACCAACAACCGCAGCATGCGTGGCGTCCATGGATCTATAGCTCGTGTTTCAATGCCGTGTCAATGGTTATGCACGTACGTGCGCGGAATAACATGTGCGGCGGCAGAGGCAGTGGACAGACCCGATGTATTCGGCGAAAGCAAGAGATTAACTTTTTCCTCGGGAAGCATGTGCGGCACAGAGAGCCACACGGAGCGGTCACGGGGACACAAGACCCTCAAACAGCTAAACCAGGAGCTAAACCAGGAATAAAAAAAACAGGATTAAACCAGGGGGGGCGACAGTAGCTCAGTTGGTAGAGCATTGGCGGCACGGTGGCTGAGTGGTTAGCACTCTCGCCTCTCAGCAAGAAGGTCCTGGGTTCGAATCCCAGTCGGACCAGGGCCTTTCTGAGTGGAGTTTGCATGTTCTCCCCGTGTCTGCGTAGGTTTCCTCCGGGTACTCCGGTTTCCCCTACCACTAAAAATGTGTCCAATAGTTCTGGCATGCGCCTCCTGTACTGGCCCCGCTCCCATCTCTGTGTGGAGTGAGAGACAAATGCCCAAAAATTAACAATTGTAAAAC